ACAAGAGGGTAAAGGAAGTCTATGCACTTCCATCTCATTGTCTCTCAGGACACTAGGAGAAGATAGCCCTGAAAGCAAAGAGAAAATGTGCCCTCAATTCATCGCTAAATTTCTTGGGTATCCAGAGGCATCTTTATTGGCATAAGTGTAAGGTTTGTCTTATATGGGTTTCCCAGGGCCACAAATGCACTGTGTACTGACCTGAGCAGGGTTCTGTGCATAAAGCCTTCCTCATCTTTATTGCTTTCTGAAATAGAGACATTCTCCCAGGCCATACAGCCTCTTCCTCTAGAAATACTCCTTGCCCTGCGACACTCTCTCTAGTAGTCATATTCTGGCAGTCTGTCCAACTCAAGCCAAGAGGCACCTCTTCTACCAGGTGCCAGAGACTTAAGCCTATAATCCTAACAATTTATGAGGTAGAGACATGAAGACTGCAGTTTGATTCCAGCCAAGGTAAACAAATCTGAGAAAAATTAACTGTTAATTAACAAGAACAAGGCAGAAAAGGAAGTGTGCTCAAATGGTAGAGCACCAGCCAGGAGCAAAACCCCTGTTAGGAGGCCAAGGCCCTGAGTTCAAGTCCTGGCATCAGCATAAAACAAAATAAGGAAGCACCTCCTCAGAGACTTCTGGATATCTGGAGGATCAAGCATAGCTTTTGACTCCTAGGTTCAAAAGTGGTTGCACTCCCTAGAGCCATGGAGGAACATTCTGAAGCGACTTCCCTGAGGCTCAAGCCTTGGAGCAACATTTGGAATAAAACAAAATAGGCGCAGGCCCCACACTTACACAATGCTGAGAGATTTAACTTGGAAAAACTTAACACATCAAATTTCTGGGAAGACTTGCACTTAAGAGAACTTGCTTCAATTTCTGATTTTACAAATTAATTGAAAATAAATTAAATTTATATTCTCAGAATGTCTAATCTTTAGCATGGATCCATTTCTTCATTGCTAAGAATGTCCACTCCATTTGTAATTTGAAAGGGAGTTCAGCTGGCACTAATGGCTCACAACTGTAAACCTACTTATTCAGGGAGCTGAGAACTGAGGATTAGAGGTGAAGGCAGCCTAGGCAGAAAAGCTCTATGAGACGCCAGGGCCTGGTTATTCACCTATTTTGAGGTTCTGGTAATGAAGTTTTACCTCAGGACCTCACATTCTCACTCAGATTAGCTTTTTAACCAATATTATATGCTCTAGACCATTTGACTTTTATTTTATTTATTTTTTTCTTTTCTATTTTTTTGCTGCCCTGGGGTTTGTACTTAGGGCTTTTGTTTTTCCAGGTTACCTAACTTCTTTAGGGGAATGCTTAGTTCATTTACCTTCATTCTCTTCTGCTTTTCAGTATAAGCATGGAGTTATACATTTTCTCCTGATTTTCTATGTTTGCATTTGTTCTTTCACAGTCTGAAATAAATTTAATTATTCTTCTAGTATTAATGACTTTGGTTCATTTCCCCCTATATTTCCTTGGTACTTTATAATGGATACAGTGAACATAGTACTTGGAATTGCTGACTGCTTCCAGTGATACCACTAGAGGTATAATACCACACTTGAAATTACATTAAAGAGCCACATAATAAAACCAAAGACCAACTTGATACTGGCACAAAATTTTGGACTTGAAGATCAATAGAACACAATAGAAAGCAAAGGAATAAAACCACACAGCTACATCAATCTAATCTTTGGCAAGGGCATTAAAAATATATACTAGAAAAAAGAGCATACTGGGAAAAGTGGTTATCTACTCTTAGGAGACAGGTATGTGACCCTTTCCTCTCATTTATACAAAATCAGCTACAGCTAGGAACTGGTAGTTCATGCCTCTAATCCTAGCTAAGTCCGGAGAATGAGATCTAAAAATTGTGGTTCAAAGCAAGCTCAGGCAGGAAAGTTCATGAAATTCTTTTTTGTTTGTTTGTTTATGTGGTACTGAGGAATCAAACTCAGGGTCTCATGCATTCTAGGCAGGTACTTTACCACAAAGCCACATTCCCAGCCCCATGGTGAGACTCTTACCTACAATTAAGCACTGAAGAAAGCTGGAAGTAGAGCGGTAGCTCAAGTAGTAGAATGCTAGCCTTGAGCAAGAAGGCTCAGGGCTGCTGCCCTAAGTTCAAGCTCCAGGACGGGCACAAAAAGAAACAGATAACCACCACATAAAAGCTCAGGGACTATGCTCCTGCCCTGAGTTCAAGCCCAGGACCAGCAAAAAAAAAAAAAAACAAGAAAGAATATTCTATGACACCTAGACCTTTTTACTCTAGCTTTAAATTATAAAATGCTATAAAGTTTTCTGTATTCCAGTTAATGGCCAAAATAAAATACAAAAAATTGCAAGGAAATATAGTTAAGCCGCTAAGCAAATTTTGTTTTTGTGCTAGTTCTGGGGCTTGAACTTAAGGCCTGGACACTCTCTCATAGCATTTGTGTTCAAAGCTAGCACTCTGTCACTTGAGTCACAGAGCTGGAAGCTCCACTTCCAGCCTTTTGGTGATTAACTGGAGATAAGAATCTCATGGACTTTCCATGCCTGGACTAGCTTTGATCCACAATCATCAGATCTCAGCCACCTGAGTAGCTAAGATTAAAAGAATAAGCTACTGGTGCTGGGACGACTAAGGAAATTTTACTTGCACTGATGACTTATTAATGGCTTTCTTTTAAAAAAATCATTTAGAAAACCAACGCTTATATCAGGAACTATAAACAATTAATTATTTTTATCACAAAAATAGTTTAAAAATAAAAGACCAAAGTATGGCCGGGCTCATGCCTGTAATACTAGCTACTCAGGAGACTGAGATCTGACCATCGTGGTTCAAAGCCAGCCCAGGCAGGAAAAGCTGTGAAACTCTAATATCCAATAAACTACCAGATAACAGGAAGTGGTGCTGTGGCTCAAGTGACCTGAAGAGCTGAGGGACAGTGCTCAGGCCCAGAGTTCAAGCCCTATGACCAACAACAACAACAAAAAATCCAATGTACACATATGAATACTAGCAAAAATCAAATGTAGTTTAAAACAAACTTTATCATCTGAAAAATAGTGAAACTCAATTTTCCTTTTGTTTGCACTGAAGTCGAGAAAAAATATTATAAACAAATGTTTTCACCAAGTTCACATTCAAAGTAAATAATGAGTCCCTTTGAGTTCAATCTTAAGCAAGCTTTGAGTTCCCAATAAGCAATTAGTGGCAATGACAGGTAGTTGCTCACTGGGCAGCTTTTGGCAGAGCTTTACCTAGTATGTTCCTCAGGAGCTTCATGTTGTGTGTGTCCCTTATATATGTTGATGAAGAAGTCCTCCATGTGCTTGGTCCTCCAGAGGAAGTTGAATATTCAGTGGCTCATGCAGTCTATGGCAAATACCTAGAAGGGATGGCAGAAGACAGACTATGGCACTGAGGCAAACAGTCCTCCTGTCCCTGACCAATCAGTCTTCAGAAAGAAGACAGTAAATATACAACCCCTGTGCATCTAAACAGCACATTTTAGGAGAAGTATCACATTCTGTAACAACTACACTGAATATTTATATGCCAAGCAGACTCACAACAGCACAAGGCAGATATGTATTTTAAATTGACCTTATTGCTAGAGAAACAAGACTACAAATGACACAGTTAGTAGATAGCTCATTAGGCAAGACATTAAACCCAGTCTAAATGTGGCTACATGAAAAATGTATATAATTATCATTACTATGGTACTTTTGGAGACTAGAAATTAAATCTAGGGCCTCATTCCTTCATGGTAGGCAAAAGCTCTATCATTTAGCCATACCACCAGTTCTGCCATGGTATCTTTTACACGAAACAGACAGAAAGACAACAGATGTGTGGAAAGAGACAGAAAGACAGAGTACAGACAGAAAGGTAAACTGAATATAGGCAGAAAAACAAAAAGGCAGTAAGACTGACAAGAAAGCAGAAAGACTGGAAAGATCAACAGATAGACTGATGGAAATAGTTTCCGGAAGAAAGATAAAAAGACAGACAGACATGGCATTGGAGGTATGGCTCAGGTCACAGAGTGCTACTCAGTGAGCAAAATTAAGTATCATACACTAGGTTTATATCTCCAGAAAAAAAAAAGACAGGTGCCAGTGGTTCATGCCTATAGTCCTAGCTAAATCAGGAGGTTGAGATCTGAGGATCCTGGTTTGAAGCCAGCCTGGTTAGGAAAGTCTGTGAGACTCTTATCTCCAATTAATTAATTGGATATTAATTAACCAAAAAACCTGGAAGAAGAGCTGTAGCTCAAGCAAAACATTACAAAAACTCAGGTTTAGGCCCTAAGAACAAGGCCCAAGACCTGCAAACACACACATACATACACACACACAACAGAAAGACAGCAGAAAAGACAAAAACATTAAAAGACAGAATACAGTAGACCGGTATAGACAGAAGAACATTAAGCCGGACAAACAGAATGACTGCTGGAGAGATGGATGGAAAGCTGGACAGACAGAAAGAGAGAAAGACAGATAGCTAGAAAATATGCAGAGACAGACGCCAGACAGAAAGATGCATTATAGAAAAACAAAAAGACTGATGGAAATACAGAAACAGTAAAGGGAAAGACAGAAAGACAGCATGAAAGGAAGACAGAGGGAAAATAGAAACTGATAGAAAAAAAAAAAAAAACATAGGCTGATAAAAAGCCTAACAGATAAAGATGGACAGAGGTTCCAGAATAGGACGAGGTTCTGCTGGCTCTGTACGGGAAGTGGGGGTGGAGGCTCTGAGGGGGCGCTCTTCGCTTCCTTTCCTCCCCCACCCCCACACTGTAGTGAGCCCACTGCCCAGCCCACGCGGCTTTCCTCAGCTCTTTACCTCGCCCCCCAGCAAAACTTTTGGTCCCTCCCCATTCCTTGCCCCTCATTCGTTGTGGCTCGAGCTCAGCCGCGCCTCCCTGACGGCTCCTCCCAACCTTCCAGACTCGGCTGCTCCACCAACCATTACCGGACACCGAAACATGTCGACCACAAGACTGTCGCCCTGCGAGATTGGCTTCTGGTGCAACACAGAAAAATCTGTGACGGACTCAAATCTGGACAAAGTAGTAGACAAGAAGGTGGTGAGTACACCTTGGGCTAGTAGCCACAACTCAAGTCTCATGTCGGGCTTCCTCCAACAACAGCACTCGGACAGTAACCTGCACACGCCGGTTCATCATGCTTTCGGCCCCAGCATCTGGTCACCCAATTTCCCCGGGGCTGTTAACGGCAGCAGCCGCTTCGCGGCAAGCAGCCTGACCTCCAACAGCCCCCTGAAGGAACCGTCGGAGATCGGCTGCGGTACTTCACTGTTCAACAAGAACAAATTCCGAAACCGCTCGTCCAGCGACAATGACCAACATCTCCTGGAGCAAAACGGCCGTGGGGGCTTCTCAATGAATGCTTTGCGCTACAAGACCGAGCTGTGCCGCCCCTTCCAAGAATACGGCAAGTGCAAGTACGGCGAGAAGTGCCAATTCGCACATGGTTTCCACGAGCTGCGCAACTTGAGCCGGCACCCCAAGTACAAGACGGAGCCGTGCCGCACCTTCCACAGCATTGGCTTCTGCCCCTACGGGCCCCGCTGCCACTTCATCCATGATATGCCTTTCGAGGGCCCGTTGGGGAACCGGCGCTCCTTCAGTGGCCGTGGCCGCGGCCTTGACTTCCACCCCGGTGTTTCCCAGGAGCCACGACAGAAGGTGAACCCTAACTTAAATTTCTTAGGCTTCCCGTTGGACAACGAGCAGCCGACAAAGCTGCTCGACAGCCCCATTTGGCGCTTGCCCTCCCCACTCTCCTGCTTCAGGGATGAGGCGGCCTCCACACCCTCAGGCACCTCAATGAGCTCTGCCTCAGGGGAAGTGGCCCCCGCCACACCGCAGAGCAGCTCCATGGACAAACTGTTCCCGCCAGGGACCTCGTTTGCAAACAATGCCTTTGACTTTGGCCTCGAGCTGAGCAGCCTGATCTCGCCTGTGGCCACGAAGACCCATAATTTTGCCGGGGTGACCACCCATTGCAATAGCAACCATCAGCAGCAGGACCCAGTGTCCCTCGCGCAGACACTGGCAGAGCCCAGCGGGCCTATCCCCTCCAGCGCCGCCGCAGCCGCTGCCGCCGCGGCCACCACAACACACACGCCGCTCTTCAGCTTCCAGCAGCTGCACCGACTGTCCAAGTCCATGTTTGACGTGCCTTCCAGCTCTCCAGACTTGCTGTCGGACCGCGACAAATACCAGAGCAGCTCTCTGAGCTCAGGCATCTTCAATGGATCCGAGGACCCCAGCCTTGAACCTAACCACCGCCTGCCAATCTTCAGCCGCCTGTCCATCTCAGACAATTGAAGTAAGGAGGTACAGTGAAGAGGAGGGAGGAAAAGGAAGGGAGTAGGGAGAGCCATGAGGATGGGAGTTGTCCCTGTCCATCTCACCCTACAGGGGGTGGCACAGAGTTTGGGGGAGGGGTGACTAAGTCCCTAGCAAACTTGCAAAGCCTCTGGCAAACTTGCAGAGCCTCACCTCTTATTTACACTTGAAGTCAGTAATATTAACAGTCCCCACCCCTCCCTTATTCTCATTTGGTCTATTATTATTTTTGTTACTATTGCTAGGAAGGTTCTTGTTAAGCAAAAAAAAAAGCCAATAAACTTGTATTCATGAACAAAATACAGCAGAGCAGCTGTGATGCAAATAGAATAAATAACAACCATTTAAAACTTTTTTTTAGGTCTCTTGACTTTGAGAATCTAGAAAAAACCAGCCAAGCACCAGCAGCTACCAACCACCATCACATCTCTTCACTTGAAAAAGCATTAGTGACAGCCCAGATGTGTGCCCTTGGACCCTGAAAGAAGTTCCAAATTGTTCGTCTCAAATCAGTGTAAACAAATTAGCCAGCTACCACCTTGCTAAACTGCTTAAGCTTTTAGAATCCAATACTCTGCCAAGAATATGCCTTGATAGCAATACTTCTCAGATGCTTAGGTTTGAGGTTTTCTTTTTCTTTTCTCTTTTGTACGAAGTTATATATGTCTTGGGAGGGGGGAATCCTTGTATTCCAAAGTTTAATACTGATTACTGGTTTCATTGCCACTACTTGGGAGAGTTTAGTTTAGAAACATGTCTGTTCTCTCCTTGGGCAGAGCTTAGTTTATTCTTGTTGGGGAATAACTGCTCAAATTTTAGCTGTTTTGAGTTGTTTCGCACCACTGCACCACAACTCAATACGAAAAAAAAAAGCCTATTTAACTTACCTTATGAAAAGTATACGTTCAAATTTTTGTTCATACTGTATTTATCACGTGATGGAATGCAATAAATATATATCCTTTTATTATGTTAAATTATGATTGCCATTAATCATTAATCAGTAGAGTGCATGCTCTTTTCTTTCCGCAGTATTGTATATCTTTTATAACTTCACTTGGTTTTATTAAAATGAATATAAAAAAACCTTAATGTAAGAAGTTGTATGCAATATTTATTCCATTAATTTCATTCCCGGGGCTAGGAAGGTGGCTCAGTGGTAAAGCGCTTGCCTTGCATGCCTGAGGCCCTGGGTTCGATTCCTCAGCACCACAAAAGCAAAAAGAAAAAAAGCCAGAAGTGGCGCTGTAGCTCAAGTGGTAGAGCGCTAGCCTTGAGCTGAAGAGCTGAGGGACAGCGCCCAGGCCCAGAGTTCAGGCCCCACGACCGGTCCCAAAAAAAAAAAAAAACAAAAAAAAAAAAACTCCATTAATTTCATTCCTTGTTTACATAAATTTCAAAAGATTGCATGATTTCTTGACCGAAATCTACCTGATGCAGTGGAAATCGTTCAAGGAATATTTTGAGTTTTCTTAGAATATATAATGGTTGTAGCCCATCCAGCTTTAAAAAAAAAAAAGCACATAGTTTGCACTCAAACTCACATGTTGCATGCTTTTCGATTTATAACTTTCTTAACTACCAAACTATCATGTTCTGTTTGCTGAGTCCAGCAGTTCAACTATGATATGATTGAGTATAAAGACATAGCAATAATGGGGGGTAGTCTCACAGTGCCTTGAGAAGACACAAACATGCCTTAAATCCTCAATAAAATGAGTATTGTGTTTGTTAGTGCTTGACAGAATCTGAATGTAGGATGGGTTCAACTGCAGAAAAGGGTATTTTTTTTTATCAGTTTTTATATAACTATAAAGTGAAGAAGCCATCTCTTGGTGCTGGGATGATATATGTAGAATATGAACTAGCCTTGTTTCATAACAAAATTCCAAAACTTGAAGTTTTTGTTTCCAAGTAGAAAGGCAAGATTAATAAGCAGTAGATTAGATCTCTACATCCAGAAAGCTTCTGGTCACTGGCTATTCAGGAGGCTGAGACCTCATGATTATAGTTCAAAGCCAGCCCAGGCAAGAAAGTCCATGAGTTTATTATTTCTAATAAACTACCAATAAAAGCCAAAAGTGGAGCTGTATTTCAAGTGGTAGAGCACTAGCCTTGAACACAAACTTTTAGGGATAGCGCCCAGGCCTTGAGGACAAGCCTCAGGACTGCTACCCCTCATCCTCCCACCCCACATCTCCCACCCCCACTAAAAAAAGACAGAAGAAATAGTCTGAATGATAGATATAAAGACCAATAGATACCAATAGATACATTAATAGACAGAAAAGCCGGGCGCTGATGGCTCACACCTGTAATCCTAGCTACTCAGGAGACAGATCTGAGGATCATGGTTCAAAGCCAGCCCGGGCAGGAAACTCGGCGACACTCTTAATCTCCAATTAACAACCAGAAAACCAAAAGTGGTTCTGTGGCTCAAGTGGTAGAGCACTCACCTTGAGCTGAAGAGCTGAAGGACATCACTCAGACCAGAGTTCAAGCCCAATGTCCAACAAAAAAAAAAAAAAGAAAAAAAAGAAAGGAGCCAGGCACTGGTGGCTCACGCCTGTAATCCTAGCTACTCATGAGGCTGAGATCTGAGGATTGTGGTTCAAAGCCAGCAAGTCTGTGAGACTCTTATTTCCAGTTAACCACCAGAAAACCAGAAGTGGTGCTATGGCTCAAGTGGTACAGCACTCGCCTTGAGCTGAAAAGCTGAGGGACAGAGCCCAGTCCCAGAGTTCAAGCCCCATGACCGACAAAAATAAAAGACAGAAAGTCCAACAAACAAAAACCAACAGAAAGACAGGAGGGCAGAAATGCAAAGGAAAAGACTGACAGAGTACAGAAAGGACAGATAAGGTAAGTGGAACCTATAGCTCAAGTGATAGAGCATTAGGCTGAGTTTAAGCCCTAGGACCAGCACACCCAACAAAAGCAAGGACAGACAAATAAAACAAGACAGACACAGACTGATGACTAAAAAGAAATATACAGACATAGGAAAAATAGGCAGAAATAAAGAGACAGAGAGACAGACTGAAATGATATAGGCTGAGGTAAGGTCATCCCCAATCTAAGAACAGTATGGTCTACATAGGAGGCCTTGTCTCAAATTTTTAAAAAATACTCTCAAGCCACAGTGATTAATACATTCAGATACATACCTCCCCTTCTTCCAAGATGAATGGTTTCATTTCTTTCTGTCTTCACATATGCTGTTATAGTCATTCATCAAACTATTTAATTTCTGACCATTGACTTCATGAGCTAAGAAGTGATTCCATCTTTTTATAATAATCCAGAAGAAAACAGAGTATTCAGTCTGTAAACAGTAAAAGAAAAAAAACAAGGTATGATTAAACATCAGAAGACATACCTGGGCACTAATGGTTCATGCCTGTAATCCTAGCTACTAAGGAGGCTGAGATGTGAGGATCATGGTTCAAAGCCAACCCCAGATGGAAAGTCTGTGAGACTCTTATCTCCAATAAAAGCAGAAAAACAGAAGTAGGCTCATATGGTAGAACGCTAGCCTTGAGTTAAAGAGCTGAGGGACAGTGCCCAGGCCCAGAGTTCAAGCCCCAAGACGGACAAAAAAAAAATTAGAGGACATAAAATAATAAAACTTAGCATCACAATAACTGTGTAACTTACATGATATAACAAATTATTTGTGTAAATATACTTTGTCTTAAATGGTCAGACCAAAGTTAAAATTCTAAACAGTATGTAAGTATTGATAAGGAATTCTCTTATAAATCATGTTTCAAAAAGCAGAAGCCCTTGATCTTCTGTATTATGAAAATATAGAAAATATACAGATGTAAAATTATGTTTCTATTTAAGGGTAAAATATAAAAATATACAGACATTCTGCTCATATTAACAATGAAATGACAGATAAACCAAAGCACATGTAAACTACTGCCTATAGGGGAGAAGGAATGGTCTAGAAAGAACAGAGCCAATGTCAGAACTCCCTGAATGTATTTTTATATTATTCTTATAAACCAAGATCCTATTTGTTAGAGATGAGTTGAAAATATAAAAAGTTAAATTTGAATTGAAAGCATTAATTTTTAAAAAATCATTAATTGCCAGGCAGTGGTCCATGTTGGTAATACTAGCTACTTGGGAAGTTCAGATTGGGAGGACTGGTTTGAGGGTAGTCCGTGCAATAAGTTAAAATGACCCCATGTTAATGAATAAAAAGCTGGGTGTGGTGGTGCACACCTCACAACTACAAGGAAATCTAAAAACATGGATTGAGATCCAGGCAAGACAAGACATAAACTTAAGATCTTGTCTCAAATATAACGAAAGCTAAAGGGCTAAAGGGCTAAATGGCTTGAGTAGCAGAGCCCCTGTCTAGCAAGCGCTATGCCCTGAGTTCAAATTCCAGTACATCCAAAAAATTATCAGGTTTGCAACTATTTCCTAGCTCTGCAAAGGAAATGGCCTAGAAACAATGACATTTACAATGTCTTCTTGCTGAGCACCAGTGGCTCACACCTATAATCCTAGCTACTCAGGAAGCTGAGATCTGAGGATTATGATTCAAAGCCAGAACAGGCAGGAAAGTTTGTAAGACTCTTATCTTCAAGTAACCACCAGAAAACTGGAAGTGGTGCTGTGGCTCAATTGGAAGAGCACTCGCCTTGAGCTAAAGAGCTCAGGGACAGTGCCCAGGCCCAGAGTTCCAGGCCCAGAGTTCCAGTCTTATGACTGACAAAAAAAATACCTTTATTATTCTTGTTTAACATTCTGAATTTTTGAATATTTTTAAATAAATTGGAAAAAATGTCATTCTGATTCTAGGAAATGACAAAATATTTCCTATATCACCTGCAAGTAATAAACATGCAGTTTAGACATAATGTTAAAGAATTACTGGAGGACACTGCTAGGGTGGGACTCCAGAGAATACCAAGACTGAAAGAAATACAAACTTTTGCTCATGCCCATGAGAAATGCAG